ACCGTATTTCCACTGAGTTCAAGCACACATTGCTTGGTTCATTATATCACCAAATTCATGAACCAACTCTTATCTCTGGAGAATTTGAAGACTTAAAACCTAACCTGCCTGCTGATTAGTTCTGCTGTTGTTGCATCTTATGCTTGACTGCTGCTGGAGACTTAATGTCATTTGCAGTTCTTTATTTATTAGCAGTTCCTATATTGTATCTATTTCTATACTAGGTCTATTATGGAGGCCCTCATATGTGCTATTTTTTCAGACACCTAACTCGCCAGTATTCTTTCTTGTCCAGTATTTTTATTTCATTCCACAGGGACTGATGACTAGCCTTTTCTCCCCATACATGATCAGCCATGCTTGATTTCATGTTTCACCCTTATCTACAGTTTTTCAATGTTCCTCCAGCTTTACTTTTAAACTGGTTTCACCTTTATATTCTTTGCTACAACTGAAAAGAATGAAGCACAGTACTTGGTCATGTTCTCCCCAGTGTTAGGCTTTAAACAGTAGAGCTAAGCTGCTTCTGAATATTGCCTGGGCTGCTTTTTCAATAAGCCCTTGATGCAAGGCAGGTAGACTATGGCAATATTAAATAAAAGGTTCAGTTCAGAATACCTTGTAGGTTACCCAGATCAAAATACACCTAATGAAGGCTGGAGGGCACAACAGCCAAAAGGTTGTGATAACAATAAAGACGAGGACAATAGTTTGAATGTAAGTAATAAAAAAAATCAGTTTTTCTGGTGTTCTTACAGTTATTATTTTATGAGGATGAGGCGAGTGTAGGAACTGTGTGTTGCGATTATTGTCTCAGGCACTTTTGGCCAATTCATTAGCCACTTTCAAGGAGTTTGTTTTAAAGATACTGAACATTACCACAAAACAAACATTGAAAATGTGCTTTAGAAAAGGCTAGAACTATTTATTGCAAAGGCATTCTGCCACTGCAGTAAACTATGTTTAATTTGTGCAAATTAATGCTTGCATTGCCATTGTGTAATAATTTTCAAAACCTTTTAGCAGTCATTCAAATGTACCTTAACAGTAAATAAGGTTAATTAAAAATAAAAAATTCTACCTGATTGTAATAGTAATTATAAATAAACAAGATTTTATGGCAACTACCCAAAGTCTGCTATCTGCTTACTTAATTTGCACTATAAATAGGATCTAAGAATTTCCTCACCTTTCTAGTTTCTAACATATTTATTCATATTGCCTTTTAATTATGTTACCAACATTTAACTGAAGAACTTTCAGAAAAAAAGAAAAAAAGAAAAGCAACACATTTATTACTTTTCTCTCTAGAAAGATTAGAGTTATTTTTCATAGTCAAAATTACTTAAAGTATTTTTATCCAGTTAAATGAAATATTCCAATTTCTATAAAAAGTAAAAAGTTTTCAATTTAGAAAGAGGCTTAAAAGAAGAGATTTATGCATGTAAGAAAGTTTAATTTTTTTTTTTTTTTTTTGGACTCCTCTTATTAAGTTAATATTTGTATGTGGTCATTTCACAGAAGGCAGGAGAAAATTAATATTCCTAAAGTTTTGTTTCCCAAATAGAGAAACAAAATTTTAGGAATATTAATAAATATAATGTAAAGTCCACTTTGTTTCAGACAACTTTACAGGTATGTCTTTGCTATTTTTTTTCAAGTTCATTTAAGATATGAAAATATCAGTTGGTTGTTTTAAACTTGGAATGTGAATTCCTGTCTTATAAAACTTGGAGGCAGCAGAAATGTGGTTCTGCAGAAGAATAATGAAAATTCCATAGATGGAGCAAGCAAGTAATGTGGAAATCTGATAGAAAATGGCAACAGAAAGGATACTTATATTCAAAATCAGGAAAAGACAGCTGAAATTCCTTGGAAACATAATGAGGAAGGAGGGTTTGGAAAACTTAACCCTCATGGGGCATATTGAAGGCAAGAGAGATAGGGGAAGGCAGCAAGCCACTATACCCGATGAGCTTGTGTGAATGAATGGCGGAATAGGGGGTGGGTGACTTAGCAAAATGGAGAAAAACTGCTAAGAGCCACACGAGATAGGAAATTGTGGAGAGTCATGACCACCTATGCCCTGCAGAAACATGGCACATAAGTTACTCATTGAAGTTAAAAAAAGAAAAAAGAAAAAAAAAGCACCTCCTATTTATGCTTTTATAAGTAACTCCTAAAGAATTAATATCAGATTAACTGCTTACCTTAAAAAAAAAAAAAAAAAAAAAAACACCAATGCAGGTAGTATATTTTGTTGATCCTTAACATTTAAATATTCCTCTAAAATTGGGAAAGATGTAAAACGTATTTATTGTACCTCAGTTTCAAATGATAATGTTAATATTAGCCATTTCCTTATAAAGAAACATTTGGCATTCATTGACTGAGCAGTCAGTATTGCTTTTGGTTGAAATTTATAAAATCTTTCTGTTAATACAATTTTTCATGAAAATAGGTTTCTCAAGTCCGGTAGCTGTTATTGCTCTTTCCAGTATTGATGGGCATTGCCTTCTTAACCTTTTGTTTGAAGTAGTGCAGAATGTTGACATCTTGATGTCATTATTTTCTCAGAGTTACATGTGTTATCTATTTTAGTTGTGGCTGCTGCTGGTAGAAAGCAGAAGAAAATTACCAGAAACACGTATTTTTGTATTGCATTGTTATGATTAGAGATTAACAAATAAATTCCAGAGAGAAACTAAATTCATCACTACAATAATAATTTGGTAAATAATACAGACACCCAAAGAGAAAGGAGGTGGGTTCAAAACACAATATCTCTCCGATTTAGATAAGAAAAACAAAATAAAATATGGAGGTTTTGTTGTGATTTAGATATTTATTCAGATCAGCACCTTCATCTTTGCTATAGTTCTTTTCAATCATAAGATTCTCAGAGATAAGATATTTTAACAATAAAGCTTTTATCACTTGGCTGCATGTTGAAGATGAGAGATAGTCAAAAATTATCTGCACTCTTGAGCAGAAGGCAATGAATGTGACAATTCTAAAGATATATTATAGTGAAAGAGCAGATAATTTTTGACTTGACCTTGTAATTTGTAAACTAATATCTTTTCATACAAAATGCAAACTTTATACATTTACAGGTCACTTATTACTTTAAATTTTCATAAACCATCTTTTTTAAAAATCTTTGCTAGTTTATACAATTTAGAAACAATTCATAAGGAATTTTAAGAGATTCAAAGATGTAAGAAACGTTTTCGTTTTAACAAGTCAAATTTTGTGACTAATTTGAAAATTTAATTTTCCAGAAATCAAAACTTTGAAAGAATTAACTTTAAAAGGAAAAGAAACACATACGCACACAACTGGTATTACTTAGCAGAATAGATGGTTTAAAATTGGAAGTTTACTGATCTGAACAAATATTTTAATCAAAGGTAATATCAATCAGAGCAGAATACAGTGTTGGCAAATAAGAATTTTGATTAAAAGGATCAATCAAATCAATTTTAATTTAATAATAAAGAAGCAAGTAATAACTTCTACAAAAATTAAAAAAAATGCATGCTATAATAATTGATCATTATTAAAGAAAAAGAATTGTTAAAATAAATGAATAAATCTCACTAGAAAACAAAACCAAACAAAATAGCACACATTAACTCACGGATAATAAGGTCTATTAAATAAAAAAAATAAAAAAAAAAATTAAGTTTTCATGAATAGGTCAAAACAAAAATGTACCTTACAAAACTAAATAGGTTTATTGTAAACTAGGATCATTAAGAAATAATATATAATATGTCTAACATATTAGTATATGTCTGACACATGTATGCCTATATATAAGTGGAGGCATGCAATGTCGTTGAAGATGAATGTCTCTTGATTAATTCCTTTTTTATGGCTTATCAACCCTTTGCAGGTCATTCAAAACCATAAAATATATTTTTTACATTGTAAGAATTTTGTGAGGGAGATAATGATTTAGTGATACAAGTATTAATAATTTACCTAATAGCTGGGGGAGAAGAGGCGGATTCATACCTTTTCCCCAAGAGTATTTTCACACAAGTGAATATAATGAACCCAACGAGAATTGGAACTCAGTTCTCCAATTAACAGTTATGAGCCATTATCCATTATACCACCCGCATATTCAAGCTTATAGCATGTGGTATTTATCAGCACTCACCCATCTATGCACTGAGAAATTGGAGAGCTGAGTTCAAATGCCAGCTGAGTTTGTTACAGTCAATTACATGCAAGTACCATCAGGAATAGTATGAATCCTACTCTTTTCTCCCTGGCTATGGGTTAAATAGTAGGATTTGTATCTGGAAAAATAAAAAGTTCTTTGCAACTCTTCCAAGATGCCCTTAGCTAGTATGGAAGAAGAAGTTTCAGCAAACTACATGACAATAACAAAATGAACTCTGGACACAGTTGTGTCATATTAGTGCATGTTTTGCTGTAAGTGGAAAGAGTGTTTGATGATGACTTCAGCACTCAGTGATGTGTGTATGTGAGAGCGAATCAAGGAAGAAATGCAAAGAAAAAATATCAGAAGAAAATTGTGAAAATACCCAGAATTACATGGAGTTCAGTTTAATCTTGATAAGACTTGATGACCACAAGATTTCTATATTTTTGAGTTCAGACAAGCATACATTTGTAACATGAAAACTCCCAATGTTCAACTAGATCACATTAATGCTCTATAAAGCTTAAAATTGAAAAACTGCTCTCAATTATAAGATTCTAAGAGAGGATAAAACTACTCCCAAGTTTAAGTTTATAAACATGGATGAAACAATGTAGGCTCCTTACTTTAATAAGGTTTTGTCTTTAAAATTACTTGAAATAAAATATTCACCCCTTTAAAAAGAAAAACAAAATCTTATTCAAGATTCAAAACAGAAAAATGAAAATGACCATGAAAAATGAAAAATGAAAAATTTAAATTCCTTTTTAGTAGTTTTACTATTTTATACATAAAAGTTCATAAAATAAAACAACCTTACCTTCCTTCTTTCGCTGTCTTTCTGTTATTTTATCACCAATCACCTGTTCAAACCGCTTTGACTCTTCTTCATCAGCAAAATTTATGCCTGCTTGGCAATGCTTTAAAAGAAAAAAAAAAAAAAAAAAAAAAATTATTTTTTAGTAAATCAAAACACCAAAGCATCTGAAATTAGAGTATTTCACAAATTTCACATATATCAAAGCATTTAAAAATTTAATTTATATAAAAAAAAAAAAAAGTAATTTTTGAGGGTGGGAAGAGTGAATATTAATTTTTAGGAGAATAAGGATTTTTCCAGATACAAGTTCTACTATTTAACCCATGGCTGGGATGAGAAGATGGATTCCTACCTTTCCCATAAGTGAATGTAACGAACCTCTCTGTATTTTGAAGACAGGTCTCCAATTTCTACTAGTCTTTTAAATGTAATACAGTTTGCTATTTGTAGCCTAATGTGACTATGTTTGTGTGTGTGTATATATATATATATATATATATATATATAGAGAGAGAGAGAGATTTGGGGACCTTGTGGCATGCAGTGCACCAGGTGTCTGTATTCAGCCCTTCAAAATGTGTGGATAATCAAATCTCATGTGCTGGTGTTGGGCTGTTGGTTTCTAGGAACTGATCTGCTTGACCCACATATGTCAATTTGACGGGAGAGTCGAGTATATATATATATATATATATCTATATTATACACACACAATTGCTGCCATCTCATCGCCAAGTACAATCATCACAAGACATCATTGCAATTTCTGATTTGAACAGATATGGCAAATCTTTAAACTGGGCAAACATTCAAAACCTCTGGCATAAAACTGGCAGACTTGAAACATACCTTTTGTTGTCATTGGGTTTATTTTTTGTGAAGGTTTGTTGTGTCTTTTCAGCTCACCAGCTGACTGACTGGCACACTTTTCCACAGATGTTACATGAATTGCTAGTACTTAATGCTATTTTGTAGTTGATGAGTGCTTTTGCTATGATGACTTTACATGACTCAATTTTTCTGCTTAACTCAAACAAAACATACAAAACAACATTACAGGTGAGGTCATGCTCATCACCTACATAGTCACACACACAAATTCACTTAATTTTTCACCCTCATAAACTTTCATTCTTACTCAATATCTCTAAATCTGACATTATATATATATATATATATATATATATATATATATATATATATATATATTTTATTAGCGGACACTCCCATCATACTCAATGTATGAGGGTCAAGCAGCTTAGTTCCTAGGAACTGACAGCTCAGACACCAGCAGAACCAACCACACTTTTGAAGGGTTAAATACAGCAACCTGGTGCACTATGTGCCACAAGGTCCCCAAACAACCCTCCACAGATTTTGAATTCAGATTTGTCCTTCTAGACCAGTTGCTTTGGATGGCAACTGGTCTAGGAGAAACCCAGCCTGTCCTGCTCTTTACCCATAGCTGAAGGGGGAAGAAGGGGATTAATACCTTTCCTAAGGGTATTAGTATGTAAGTGAATGTAATGGATTCAACTGAAATTCGAACTCGGCTCTTCAATTTCTCAATCGGAGCTGCTATCCACTACTCCACTTTATAAAAAAAAAAAAAAAAAAAAAATCAATACAACATATTGATAGTTTTAGTTAAACAATTACTGGCTACTATTAGTGTTTTAACTACTAACATCTGTTAGCAATTGATTTCTCTGATTTTACAAAAATTCTAATTTACTAAAAAGTAGGAAAAAGAAGTATATATTAGTATCAGTGTAAAAGATTTCTAATGTAACTAAAATATATCTGTAAAAGAACAATATGAATAAAGACAAAAGGAAAACTCATCTTAGCTAATGCATTTCATCTTCCGAGGGACTTTATCAACAAGTTTTCTTTATGTGAGGATTTTATTTTGCAACAAGTATTTATAAACAAAAATAAAACAAATATTAGTTTTTCAAAATTTTTAAATTTAAGAGATGCTCGTAAATATTCATTTTAAATTTTTCTAATTTTTTTTTTTTTTTATAAATGAATATTTATGAGCATCTCTTAAATTTATCAAGTTTTTAAATACTTGTTACAAAATAAAATCCTCACATTTGCCTTGATAAAGTCCATCAGAGGATGAAACATGTATCCAAAGATAATTTTTTCTTTTATCTTTATTCATTAATACGAGTTCACTTTATTTTTTCTGGTAAACTTACAAATTAATTTAATGATTAGCAATAACTTAGGGCTACCAGATGTCTGATAGATTCATTAATTTCTTACAGATTTAAAACAGTTTTCAAAAATGCGTGAAGAATTAAAGGGTTTCTAAAAAAAAAATGAAAATAATAATCAGCAATGATATCACCATGAACTTTAGAAAAATGTGCTAAGGTAACCTACAAAAGAGGTACAGACAGCAGATATAAAAATTGATAAAGAAACTGATTCGAAATCTAGATCAAGAAAAAGCAATACAAATATCTTTGTATAAAAGGACAAGAAATCCAACATGCAAAAGCGAAAGAAAAATATAATGCAAGTAAGAATGATAAATAAAACAATTATTTGCTTTATTTACACATGGACTATTGTTTGCATCTTTGTTGCTTCTATCCCAACGTTTCAGACATTGTGACCTCTGGCCTTCATCAGGTGCTTTTCAATCCAAATAACCATCAGGGAATTTTGAACTGAACTCTTTATTTAATCGATGGGGGTAGATTGTCCTCATTCTGTAAATCATGTCCAGGGATATCTCATCTAGTTCTTAGTTACCCTGTTTCCACAGAGTCCAAGTACACTGCCCAGTCCAGATATTGAACTAGCAATTACCATATCACCATATTCACAAATCAACACTTTAACCCATTATACTATTGTCCTTATCTTTGAGGAAAATAGTCTGTATGTAAATACAGGCATCCCTCATTTAATGCGGTTTCAATTAGTGCACCAAAAGTTTTATATACCAAAATTCAATTTGTACCTACATAATACTTGAATAGTGTAGCAAGACATTCTTCAGTTTAACGATAGTAATTGAAAATTAATTTTTTTTATAGTTACCAATGTTATAAGTTATTGACATTTGGGGAAACATTCATGAAAGTATGTTACAAAAATGATATCCGATAATGTGGAGGTACCTAGATAAACCTTGTTTACCAGTATGAATCAAACAAAAAAGCTACATTCAATTATCAAAGAAAGCCAAAAATAAGATGTACCTACTATACAAACAAAATAAAATGGGAGGTGAAATAATAAAAATTGAGGCCAAAAGACATTTTTTAAAAAGTGTCTAACTAATCAGAAAACAAAATGGAAGATATGCCAATATTATAACGTCATCCAGGCAGTAAAAAACGGTATGACCACAAACCATCTCCACTGCTCAAAGATGAAAATGTTATAGCAGTCTAAGACTCCACCATACCTACTAACTACATTATAAAAGCCAGTAAACTATAAAAGATTAGAATAAAAAAAGAAAAAATACTATCACATAGGCATGTCATATTGTCTGACAAAAGAATTTGACAAACTTTCAAAATATAGAAACCTAAAAAAAGAAATTGCAAGAATGTTGCATTTAAAAACCAGTACTCTAATAATAATAGGAGCACTAGGAATGATTAAAAAGAATACTGATACACATTAAAAAAATCCCAAGAATCCTCTCACTATCTGAAATAGAAAAGAGTGTGTTCATGAGCACCATTCAAATAAACAACTCTCTTAATGTTCTCAATAACTTGTCTGTGTCCCTAAACTTCAGGGGAGGAGTCTACAGAGTTCACATCCATAATACTAGAACATTGTATGTGGTGTAATATTTGAATAAATTTTCTTTTTGATGGAGAGAAGTACTGTGTCTTATAGACTAAAGAAATTCTTTATTTGTATTTTCTATATGATCAACATTACATTATCATTTTCTATTAACATATATGTAATAAATCAGTTAATCAATAATAAAGTATATATAATGATAACAAACCTCAGCAAAAGAATGTTGCCATCATTCAAATTATAAGGACCTAGAAATAGTGATTGAAAGAATGTGGCATTTAAACACAACCACTATTCAAATAAATGGAGCACTAGGAATGATTTAAAAAAAAAAAAAAAAAAAAAAATACCAATAAACACATTAAGAAAATCCAAGGAATCATTACTGAAAATACCAAAGATTGCGCTCACATACTTAAAAATTCTTTATGCAATATGCTTGATAACTCTCTCAGAAAAATCTTTCTCTACCTAATGTAAATAACTTTGCAAAGGATTGTATCAAATAGAAAATCAGAAAAACAATAACATCATTCAATAAAGTTTAATTGAAAGGGTGCACAGTGGAGTAATGGATAGTAGTTTAGATTGAGGAATCAGAGAGTCGAGTTTGAATTCCAGTCGAATCCATTACATTCAATTATGTGCTAATACCCTTGGGAAAGGTATGAATCCTCTTCTCTGCCACCCCACCAGCTATGGGTAAATAGTAGGACAGACCGGGTTCTATAGCCTTGGATGGAAACTGGTCTACTGCAGAAAGAAACGGCAACCTACTGCGGGAAAAAATCTGCCTTGTCAGTCATGTATCAAAAGATACATGATCGCCTAAGTGTGTATCACACATGGCACATAACTGACTGACTGATGCTGAGAAATTGTAATCAAAGATGAAGCAAGAAGCCCACTCACTTCCTGATGAATGTTATCTTTACTTACATTGTTCTTCAATAAAGATGTGACTGTTGAAATGAAGTGATAGATTGATTTGATTTTTACGACTTATCAACCATATCAAACCCCTACTATTTAACTCATAGCTGGAAAGGAGATGTTCATACCTTTCTCAAGGGGATTTGTGCATAACGAACACAACTGTAATACAGTCTTGGCTCTCTGATTTCACATTCCAAGACGTTATCCATGACACCACCCACACATCCTGAACATAAATATATAAGCTCCTGGTTTTAAGACAGTCAGAATTTGACAGTTTTTGGTATTGCTATTGGTACAAAGCTAGTTGATTTTTTTTTGTGACTTGGGACTCTTAGCATTGCAACTCTCAGTACCTTCATATATTTTTCTACCCGTGTCCTTATAAAAATAATGAGCAAAATGCCCAAGATTTCAATAATATTACTTGAAGGCATACGCTTTCCTTTATTTTTTCATTATAGAAAAGACATAATGAAGGTACATCCACAGCTTAATAATGCTTGATGAAAAGAAAATTATTTTACATAAATATTTTTCAAAATAATGTCAAAATCCTTGTCAAAACAAATTAAGTAGTGAATATTAATTATATTGATTGAACATTATACAGTGAAAAATTCTGGTCAAAATTCAGCTAACAAATATGGCTTATGGATTCACCATCACATGAAAACTTGTTGATAAGTATAGAGTAACTTACATCAGCTTCAAATGTGTGGAAGAATCTGCGAGGACTTTTGTATTTCAACTGTTGGTACATCTCCTGTTCCCATAGTAACTGCTGTCTCTGGAAAGAGATCAAAACAATTTCTTATAAAAGAAATAGTTAAAAAGAGAAAAAGATCTGAGGAGAAAAGTAAATAAAATTCAATGCAAAATAAAGGAATACAAATCAAAATTGCAAGTATTTAAAATACAATAAATTTATTGCATATGTGTGTAACTGACACAAGCAGAAAAGTTTAATGATTTGTTTTAGGAAAGACTATTGTTAGATGCCTTTAAATAAAAAATCAAACCCAATCTGACAACAACCAATTACTGTTAAACACACTGTATCCAATTAAGCACATTAAACTATAAGTTCTGCAAGACAATTTCTTTAAGGCAACAATATTGAAAAATATTTAAGCCTTTAATGGATTACACTGAGTAAAGGGATTTTAAAAAAAATATTTTGATCTTTTTTTCATTATTTAGCTTGCTTATAAAAATAATTTTTGATTTTGAACTGAAACAAAAATATCTGGCCTTCTGTTATAATTTAGAGCAAGAACATAACTGGCAGCTGCAATTTTCACAGACAAATAGCAACAACTGGGGTTACTATTTCTGATCTAAATGTGCAAAAGACTCTTCACTTGCTACTGTTGGGTTATATATTTATTTATATACTTCCCAGCCCTGTAGATGATATATGGAAGTTGAAAGCTTGAACTTGACAATAATTAGGGATATTCTTGTTTTTATTATTCAACAGCCAAATCTGCAAAAAGATATTCACAATTTAGAAAAGACAATAGATATATCATGTGTGTTTATGCAACTACATTCAAGATTTAAGAATGAAATCTGATAAATTATGGATGCTTATCCTATGTATTTAGATTTTATTTATAAGCTATATATGTTTATAGGCACATGGCTAAGTTGTTTGCTTTCCATGGTCAATTTGTCAAGGTGACTTCTTGATGTTATTGGCAATCCCAGTATGTGGCACCTTTAGAAAATGCCTGAAATCCATACCACAAGTTGACCCAAGCATTGAGTGAAATTGAGTAGACAAAATTATTTGGGAACTGTTGATAATTGTGCTAGCACAAAGCTACAAGTCTACTGAAGGTTTCAGCATCCTAGCCTTGTTCTGACTGTTGAACACATCAGATAATGTGCCCTCCAAGAAACTGTAACTAAGGTCTGATCTGCATATTTGTAGTATAAACCACAGGCAGGCTGTGTTGGTGTTGGACAAACACAAATGTGCCTGAGTAGGCCTCTGAAACAGGGATTGGCCAGCCACCTTAGTAGACAGACATACTTGCATATGTGTAGCCAACCATTATGTTTAAAAAATGACCTACAGTCTGTTGTTAACCAGGGCAAAGAATGGCATATTAATTTTAATACCTCCAAATGAAACTTCTCTCTATTAATCACCCGAGCATGGCTGATGCTAACCTCCATGAGGACTCATTGCACCTTCTTGGACTAACATTCTTAGTTGACATAAAGTAGAAAGATTATATTGGATTATCTGCTAGGTCTGCTGCGAAGAAAGTTGGCTCACTGTGTCATGCTAGACAATTTTTCTTGCCAGAATCTATCTTACATATATATAAATCTACCATTTGTCCATGCTTAGAATATTGCTGTCACATATGGTCCAGTGCTCCTGCTGTATATTTAGAGATTCTTGATAAAATCCAAAGAAGAATCAGCAATACTATTGGTCCTGACCTTTCGTTTTTGGCTTCAGTCACTTTTCCATTGCTGTAATGTAGTTTCCCTGTGCCTTTTCTATAAATACTTTCATGGTAATTGTTCAGATGAACTCTTTGCTATGATACTGAGGTTTTATGAATTTAAATGCAGTACTAAATTAGCAGTAAGGTCAAATCAATTTACACTCAAATTGACAAGATGCAACCATAAATTCTATGCTAACAGTTTCTTTTCTTACATGCAGAACTCTCTTCCAGCTCCATGCTTTCTAGCCAACTTTGATCTTCAAAAATGTACATGCAATGTCAACCATTATTTACTGTCTTCTTGATTACTCTATTTTTTTTGCTCCATAATAATGTTTCTCTTTTTTCTTATTCTTTCACACTCAGCAACCTCTTGTGTCTTAGTCTTTACTGACTTATATTGGGGGGAAATGATTTAAGGAAAAAAAAGATAGATTAGTTTTTTTTTTGCACCTAGTTTTTAGACAGTTAATTTTGCTTTCTGGAGAAGATTTCAGTTAGTCTCTATTGTTCAACTATAACCCTGTCCTGTGGGGGGGGGGTGATTTAAAAGGGAAGAAAATCTAAAGGGAAGAAAAATGGGGAAAGAATAAGTTCAGCATAAACTGTTTAAAATAGAGATACCACTGTTTTATCTACTGCCTACCTTGTGTTTCTACCCACCCCCTTAAAGACCAGATTTCCTCTCTTTCTCCCAAACTCTTCTTGTAATGTACATGTAGCATAGGGGTTTATATATATACTATTTAATATTCTGAGGGTGTGCAGAAAAGTTCTCAAGCTGACCAAGAAAAAATTCTGATGTTTGGTCATTTGATTAGTTTTTAGGAAGTGGGTCAGGCCGAAAATTTTCAGTAACCTCTTGTATAGCTAATTTAAACCTAGCTGTTCATTCCTAACTTTGTCCTCTACAAAATTATATCCCTTAAAATACGAGTAGGATGGAGATAGCACTTCACCACCCCAGTAATCAATTCCTGTCTCCCCCTACCCAACACACACACACACACACACTGACCCTTTCTGACATTTCCTATCACTCAAAAACATCAAACTTGTTTAATTCAGCTTTGTGGATCCATGAACTCCTGGGTGAGAATCTGTCCATAAGGGAATCGGCAGACCATTTGGCTGGGAACCATCCATAGGACCCCATCTCCGAGTATGTAATGGCCCTTTTGTTGAGTTTGGCTCTTGTGACTTAAACCAATCACCACTATATTTTAAATATAACTTCAGTTCTCCTACCAAGTGGGGTTTTACTCCTAGACCTTCAAAAGGTTGAAGGTCAAATTTCAAATTCTTTGTATATTCACCACACACACCCAAAGTAAAACATTTCATGTAAATAATGCTATCCATCAATATATGCAAAAATTAGTATCATGTGCATTAAATACTTTGCATTTGTTTATTATACTGTAATTAAATTAAAAATATAAACATAAAAACTTTCTTCCTATTAAGGAAATTTGTTGAAATATCTTAATAATTTCAATATTTTTATTTTTCAAACCATGTACATTATTGGATAAGGAAAATTTGCCTAATGCTCAATTGTATTTTTCACTAATTTTATTTAGCACATCACTTTTGCCTAATTCTTGCCACTCCAGTTTTTGAACAGGAGTGGAGACAAATCTCTTGTTTCCTGTTTAGGATTGAATTTCTGGTTCCTTCTAAAGTTTACTTCCACACTATATTCCAACTGAACTTTGAACTGTTATTCACTAATTAAATCTTGACTTTTTCATGTCTACAGTTAGCCGTTATCTTCCCTGCATAGAGCCAAGAACTTCACTTCTTGCCCTTTTTTATGCTAATACAACACCACACAGTAACCTTCTACCTTGAGTGACTCTTGGGCCTTGTATTGGGTTAAAAATAAAAACAAAACAAAAAAAACACAATCTTTGTTTATAAATACATCAATTAAGTTTAATAAATGTTATCATTGAATTTGTTTCTTTCTTATTTGAGCTGTAAGAGTCAGAACACAATTTTTATTCATGAAGCATTGTATTTGATAATTTTATTAGTATTGATTCTCAAGTTTAACGAAGATTTGAGATATTCTCTTTTCTCTTACCCAAAGTTACCTTAACCCTTGGTATCCCTCACTATTTGTCTTTTATTTGATACCAATTTTTACTTAACTGATATTCATCAATTAACAGTAATTATTGTAATCTTACAACAGTAATTAATGCCAACATTAAAATGCTTAAACATATTATATAATTGTTATTAGGAAAGTTAAATTTATACTTCTCAGGTGCAAGTTACTGGAAATACAATACAATGGCAGAATTAAGTAAGTAAATGTCAAACACTAATCCAGATTTGTCACTTTGAGGGATATTTAAAAAAATCACTTATTAAATTCTTATCAGTATTCCCATTTAACATTGATTATTTTAAAAGCAATACAAAAAAGCTGAAAGTAGTAAAGTTTAAAATTCAGTAGTGTTATGCTAACATAGCCACTCCAGTCTTGGGTTGTGCACAAATCCTATAAATCTACTAACAAATCATTCATTTTTTTAGTATATTATGCATACAAATAGTATGGTTTTTTAAAAGATAGCAGGTTGCATGTATTAGGTTTTATACTAAATCCACATTTAATCCAGTTAAAAGAGTTATTACTTTGTATATACCATTGGTATGTAAGAAAGAAGAGAATTTTTTCTTAAGAGTTATGGTTGCAGAAAGCAATAAAAAATTTTGTGCAGTAAGCAACTGCAAGAAGGAAACTAAGCTAAAATGTACATGGCACACACAATATTTTTTACACTAATGTCCACCCAATACAAGGCCCTAGAGCCACTCAAAGTAGAGGTTCACTATGTGGTGTTGTATATGTGTAAGAAAATACAAGTAGTAAAGTAAATAACAGTTAAAAATAACAGACTTAAGAGGTCAAGACTGTAAACCTCCTGCCAGTATTCTGTTCCACAAAGCAGCAGTTCTTGGGAAGAAGCTGTCTGAGTGGAACTTACTAATGGAAAGAAATAGGGATAATTCACACTTGTGTACATGACATGGCAAGTCTCAGTTGGAAAATTCAAGGCTGGGAGAGATGAAGGAATGTAGCTCTTTAGAACATGTCATGGAAATAGTGATAGACCGGCAAGAGGTTTGTGATGTTGCGTTAGTGCAAAAGGGGTTGTCAGGTGGAAAATAATTCATCACCCACAAGTTTGTGTAAACACATTTGAACTCTAGCAAGACAGGTGAGGGAGGGCTTGTCAGCTCCATCCCAGATATGGCAGTAATATTCTATTTTTGGTCAGATTTGGCTCTTGTAAATAGAGTA